GATCATGCGTTCCCATTCTGGTTCAGTGAAAGTTTTGTGGATCTCTTTTTCCCATGCGTTGATAAAGTTGTGTTCGTGCAGTTTGCATTTTGTGGGTAGTGTTGTGTAGAGGAGGATATGATTTTCTGGGGTGGTGTGGGGCTGGTGTACATTTCCTCGAATGCCGTCATCTTTTGTGCCTTAATGTTAATCGCTATCTCCTGAAATTGTGTGCGTAGCCATGAGTCTAATTGGCGGTAAGAATAATGTGCTACTATTGGTAACTTGTGGGAGTCTTGTAATGTAGCAAAGGTCGTTAGACCCGTGTTAGTGATTATCTGGTGTAGGAATTTTATGCCATGTCTTTCCCATATTCTATAGTTAAAATCCGGGATAATGTGTGCTAGTGACTTAAGTGGCATGGCTTTGGAGATTTTGTGAAGCGTATACCTAGGAATGTGATGTAGTCGGTTCTCCGGTCGTATGTGTAGGTGTTTTTTAGTCTATGGGTGATGTCTGGAGGGAGTCCTTTGCATAGGACTTGCGTCTTGGATATATTCAGTTTGTAGTAGGACATTTTACTGTAGTGTTCTAGTATGGAGTGGAAGTGTGGTAGAGAGGCTTCTGGGTCTTGTATCGTTAATAGTATGTCGTCTGCGAAGGTCGCTCTGAGAAAATCCCAGTTCAGCCTATCGAAAGCCTTTTCGGCATCTAGTGACATGAATAGGCATCCCGTTTTTCGTTTGTGTAAGCTATGTAGTATATCTAAAACCTTCCTAGTGCCGTCCGTGCCCTGCCTTCCTTTTACAAAGCCGACCTGGTCTTCATGCACTAGATCTGGAAGTATGGTGGCTAATCTATTGGAGTATATTTTCGCCAGTAATTTAACATCTGTGTTGAGAAGTGAAATTGGGCGTAGGTTCTGTCCTCTGTCTGGCATTTTCCCCGGTTTGGGCAATGTGGCCACATGGGCTGTAAGCATTTCCTGTGGGATTGTCCCTGTATGAATTATGTACTGAAATGTTTGTCTCATGTGGGGAATGAGTATAGATGCAAAGGTCTTGTAATATTGATTTGTAAATCCGTCTGGGCCTGGGCCTGGGCCTGGGGATTTCCCTGTAGGCAGTCTGGTGATAGCGTCATTCAGTTCAGTTATCGAGATTTGTTCAGACGGTTTGTGTTTTTGTTCGTTTGTCAGGGTTGGTACCCCTCAATGTCTGAAACGGTTGGTTGGTATAGGGTTTTTTTCCTCCCTTAAATTATAGAGGGTGCTATAAAAGGTCACTAGTTCCTTATTCATGTCTTGTGTGTTCCAGAGTTTATGGTTATCTTTTGTGAGAATGTATGGAATCTTAGCATTAGATTGCTGTTTACGTAGCATGTTGGCCATTAGTTTGCTAGCTTTGTTCCCTTTCGCATAGTGGGTCATCTTAAATTTTTTCAGAGTGTATGCTGTTTTTTGGAATTGGTGTTCATTAATTTTGGTGGTAATGGTTTGGATTTCCGTCAGGAGATCCTGTTGTTTTGTTTGGTAATAAGTTTGGGTGGTATCTCTTAGCTGTATGAGCAGTTTCATAAGTGTTGCTCGCTTTTGCTTATTGAGATATGATGCTCTGCGGATCATTAGTCCCTGCATAACTAGTTTGTGTGCTTGCCATAGGATCGGGGCCGTGATCTGGGGGTCCTCGTTGGTAGTAAAGTAATGTTTAAGTTCTTGTTCTAGTGTGAGAGTGAATTCTTGGTCGTGGAGCAGTGAGTTGTTCAGTCTCCATGAGCCCTTGCCTTTGTACATTAATGCGTCAGTGAGTGTCAGTATCACTGGGGCATGGTCAGACCATGTTATATCGCCGTGTGTACATTGATGCGTATGTGGTAGTCCTGTGATGGTCACGAAAAAATGATCTATCCTGGAGTGGGTCTTGAGCACTTGGGAGTAATAAGTGTAGTCCTTATCTCCACACATCGTATAAGTTAAATTGAATTAGCAGTTTGTTAAGTCTGGTGCAGGCCGGCCTGAGAGATGTCAATCTGGGTTTTTTTTGAGTCTAGTGTAGTGTCCATTTCGGGGTCTAGGATATGGTTCAGGTCTCCACAGTATATTAATATGCCTTGTTGTATGTTGCTCACTTTAGTCAGTATCTTTTGTAGGAAGTGCCATTGATTGTCGTTTGGTGCGTAGATTTTCACTATGGTGTATGTGACATCATTGAGGTTACATATTAGTATAAAGTATCTCCCATTGGTGTCTTTGATTATTTTGAGTGGTTCGAATGCAACTGATTTGTGTATTAGAATGCTGACTCCTCTGGATTTGTGGCTATGTGTAGAATGGTATTGGTTTGGGAATTGTTTGAGGTCTATGGATGGTGATGTCTGCCTTTTGAAGTGAGTTTCTTGGAGGCAGATCACATCCGCGTTATGGTTTTTCAGTTCTGTGCGCAGTATTTGGCGTTTTTGGGGGGAATTTAGCCCCCAAACATTATGTGAGTATATTTTCATTATGGGGTTGGTCTAGTTTGAATTTATCGTCTGTAGGTGGGCAGTATAGTCTAAGGTTTAGTGAGAGCTTGCCTCGGTGTGCCAGCCGTGCTGTGTACTTGGTGATGGTTAATGTGCAGGCTGTTTGCTTAGTTTGCGTAGTCGTGGGTAGAGTGGGTCCGTGTTCGTTCTTGTGGTTTGCAACTGGGGGTAGGGATTGATGGGGTGGAAACAGGAGTCTCGTTGAGAACTCAACTATGTACAACTATGCACAACATTGCCCAGATGTGGGGCTTTGTACTCCTTGGTAGTACCTGGGGTGTGGTGAGCATGTGTGTTCTGCTCACGAAGGAGGCTACCTGGGCTCCTTCATTGTTTAAGTCATGTCATGTCCCCCGAAAATAATGCCAGGCTAGTATCTCTTTTTTGTGTTTGTCTAATCTGCTCAGGGTGGTGTAGGTATGTTCTGCTGGTGGCCGTCTGATTTGAGTTTTTGGTGATGTGCCGCGATGCTAGTGCTGAGAGTGTGAGCATACATTATCTTCAGTTCCATTTTATAGTACCTCGTTACAGTGTTATGTTAAGAGCAGCTGCTGCTCCTTGTTCTGCATATGCTGACTCGTCTGTGCTGCGTTTAATTAACTTGGTTGTCGTGTGCATGCCTTTACTCTGGCTTTATGCGTTGCCTATCTATGATATATAGTGGCATATTAACATTATTATTAATATATATATTTTTTTTCTCTGAACTTTTCAGCTTTGCAATATTAGATAGTCAATCTGAATGTGGTGTGTCTAGCTTGTTCCTGCGTAATAGTTTCATGTCAGCTCCAGTGTGCTAGGGTTAATAGGTTATCCATAACCCTCTTGTCTTAGGTTTGGGTTATCAGGTTTATGTTCACAGTTAGAAGGGGAATAGATCTAAACTGAGTGGGGCCTAATCTTTGGCATTTCGGGGTTCAGGTGTTCGTTGGCGTGCTTGTATGGGTTGTCTGTGCAGATAAATTATGCGGGTTGAGGTACAGCAAAGTTAACAAAAAACAAACAATTGGTTCTATATATACATTACCAGCCTCTACGTGTTATATCATATTAGCAGTTCAGATTGGCTGGTATAAGTCTATGGTTACTATGCTTTTCGCCATTCACGGTGCAGCACGGCCGTTTCTCTTGTCGGTTTGCTTGGTGTGGGTAGATTCCATTCCCTGAAGAGCTTTTCACCATCTTCCGGCGAGGTCAGTATCTTCGTCGTGCCTTCCTTGGAGTTGAGAAGCTTGAGGGGGTAACCCCATCGGTAGGCTATTTGTTGCTGCCTGAGAATAGTGGTGATGGGTTGGAAGGTTTTTCTCCTTCTCAGCGTTGCAGCCGATAAGTCCGGGAATATCTTTATGTCAGCATATTTGCCGGGTATGTTCTTACTGTTTCTGCTCTGTTTCAGTATTAGTTCTTTAATATGGTGGTAATGAGCGCACAGGATTACATCCCTGGGAACCGAGGGTGGTAGGTGTTGAGGTTTGGGTATCCTGTGTACCCTGTCAAGGAGTAGCATAGCTGACGGCGTGTCCGGTGAGAGCACATGGAAGAGTTCGTGCACATAGGCCTGGAGGTCCGCAGGGGCCACCGTTTCCGGTATGCCCCGCAGTCGTAAATTATTTCTCCTCGCCCTATCTTCAATATCCATGAGTTTGTTCTCCATTGTGGATATAGTCGCTTGCAATGTGTTTACTTGGTCTATCAGGTGGTTGTGTGCCTCTTGAGTTTCTTCCATTCTCTCCTCCACCCGGAAGATTCTCGCTCCCAGCTCTCCGATGTCCTTTTTCAGGCTTGATAGGCCCGCTTCCCAGCCAGCCATCATTTTGCTGGAGAATGCTCCTAGTTGTTCCAGAAGGAATTGTTTAGTGACCGGCTCCTCCATTGTCTGGTCAGCAGGGTCAGTGAAGGGGTTGCTGTCGTGTTTCCTCCCCACCATCTTGTTGGTGCGGCTGGCTTGTGTGTCTGGTCGGCGATGCATTTTGTCCAAAAAAAAAAAAAATTTGTTTTTCGGCTTTGGTGGCTTGCCGTTTTTGTTTAGTTTGAGACAGTTGTTTTTTGCGTGTCTGGGTCGTCTGTTTCGGGTATTGAGACGCCTTTGTTGGAGCCCCACATGCAGGAGCTAAGAATTACACGTTCATCTTGCTCCGCCGGTAGCCACGCCCCCCAGAGTTATTTTTAATTGTGTGCTGGGTGTTAGTTGCACCCCCAGCACACGTGACTTTGGAAGTTCAGAACGCTGTTCCAGGCTTCCGAATGTCAATTCTGTGCATAAAATTAATCAGTAGGAAGCACACACACTGCCTGCTGCCAACAGACAATCCTCCCATTATCCTTAAATATGGCAATCCCACATAAGAGTACCAAGTTAGTAAACTATTCTACACAGCTGAAAGATCTAATTTAAAAAGGGACACTAGTCACCCAGACAACTTCAGCTCAATGAAGTGGTCTGGGTGCCTAACTCCTCAAGTTTTAATCCTTCAGATGCAAACATAGCAGTTTCAGAGAAACTATGTTTACATTTGGGGTTAAGCCAGCCCCTAGAGGCGCATCTGCGACGCTGGAGGCATATTATGCCTCCATCATGCAGAGCATCCATAGGAAAGCATTGACAAATGCTTTCCTAGGGACACTTTGAATGCATGCGGCTCTGCTGATGTCGGCAGAGGGAGCTGACGTCGGCTGGGGAGGAGAGGTCACCAGCGCCGAGGGAGCCCGGTGCTGGAATAAGGTAAGCTGCTGAAGTGGTTTTAACCTCTTCAGTGCCATGGGAGGGGGATCCTGAGGGTGGGGGTTACCTCAGGGCACTACAGTGTCAGGAAAACCGCTTTGTTTTCCTGACACTACAGTGATCCTTTAAAACAAGATATGCACTTAAAAATACAAGGGCTTTTGTACTTAATTTTGAGTTCTGTTTAGTAGACAACTCCCTAATTTGCCATCCTAAAGCCTGATTGCTATATTTAAAGATATCAAATAAGGGAGTTATCTGCTAAACACTCCCCTGATTTGGAAATCCTTAAATATAATAATCCCACGAAGAGGAACCAAAATAGGGAGCGAGCCACCTAAACAGCACCCTAATTTGGTACCCTTTAATATAGCAATCCCATGTAAAGCTATTAAATTAGGGAGCTTTTGGTTTTAGTAGAGAACTCCCTAATATGGTATCCTTAAAAACAGCAGTCCCACTGTACAAATGTTAGGAGCCATCTACTAGACAGCTTCCTAAAAAGAACACTAGTGTCAGAAGAAATGTATTTGACACTATAGTGTCTAACTATTTAGGTAATCTGCCCCAAACTAATCCCAATAAAGGTGCCTTTACTCACCTTTTCTCCCACACTGATTGTCTCTGGCTATACCTCCATGGACGATACGTGTGGCAAAACAACTCCCAATTTGTACCATAGCATACAATCTCAGGATGAATGGATTTGTAAAACTCAAAGCCCACACATTTTTGACCATTAGATTGCTAAAGCAGCTGCCCGTTCATGCATTCCTCTGCTAGCTCAAAGTTCAATATATTTTAGACGTAGAATGCAGGAGAAAGGGGCACCCATGATTCTACTGTAAAAGAAGCATCAATGATTGTGAATTCTCACTAATAAAAAGTTGAAGGCCTAGCTGTGGAAGTGCCTCTAGCGGCGGTCAACAAGAGAAGTGAACCCTGCAATGACAGTGGTGCTGTTGGTGGTCAGTTGAAACTAGTTTGAATGCCCGCCCAAGTGAAAGTTTAATGGGTGGGATTATTTCAGCTCTTCCAATGATATCAGCAAACAGGCATTCAGTTCTAGATTTGAAGATTGCTTCATTCTACTTGGCAAGTGTAAGAGGGATGTTTGTTTACAGGGGGGAGAGCTGAATACAACTTCCCAAGCAATAGCATTGATAAGGCATATGGAATTCCCATCAGAGTAGTGTTTTGCGATTAACCAAAAAATGTCAAGTTTAGAGAGTGCTGCAAGAGATGTGTCGAAACCATGTACATTCACAAAATATTTACAACATTACAATCCCAGCATACTTTTTTATTGTGCCAAGTTTGTACACAAAACAGGTTTCCCCTTACATATTTATACTAAAAACAAAAATGTGCAGGATTTTAAGTGCCCATCTACAGAGGAAACAGGAGACACCAAGTTTGTCTGGCCATAACAGTCAATACTGCGCAAAAACTCAAAATAACATTTTCTAGTATTTAGATCAAGACCAGTAGTACAGCAATTGAGAAATGGTAAAGGGACTACAAAGCACACCATGTGTCAGGTCTTTTTACAGAGATGTTTTATTGAAAACTTTAAATACACTTAGCCAACATGATCCATTACAGAAACAGGCTTCAAGCGTTACTTTTATGACGAAGGTGTTGAGTGCTTTTGGAACAGGGAAATTAGTCTTTAAGAGTGCTCTTCTGCAAGTTTCTCAGCCTTTATTACAGCTTCTTCAATAGGTCCAACCATGTAGAATGCCTGTTCTGGAAGGTGATCAAACTCTCCTGTAGGACAGAATAATTTGAAGGTCATTTATTTTTAACCAAGCAAGTTACTACACAAAATACAAAGTCAGGTTTTAAAACCTAGCTATGCTAATCAACATTACTACTTCACATTAAAAAGCAGAAGTCCCCTGCATGCTCTCCTTGCAGAGCTAATTTCGAATAGCTAAAATGAAGTGCCCAAGCATAATTTACCGTGAAGAATCTGTTGGAATCCCTTGATGGTATCCTTCAGTGGGACCAGTTTACCAGCATGCCCTGTAAACACTTCAGCAACCTGGAATGGCTGAGACAGGAAACGTTGAATCTTACGGGCTCTTGCTACAGTCAGTTTGTCTTCTTCTGACAATTCATCCATACCCAAGATAGCAATAATATCTTGTAAGGACTTGTAATCCTGAAACAAAGTTTTAAAAGACACCAGTTATACTTAATTAAAAAAAGTACGACGCTTGGGCGGTTTTGCTTGTCTAACCATCTACCTGCAGAATCTTTTGTACTCCACGAGCAACATCATAATGTTCATTTCCTACAATGTTTGGATCCATGATACGGGAGGTAGAATCCAGGGGATCGACAGCAGGGTAGATACCCAACTCTGCAATGGCACGAGACAACACAGTAGTGGCATCCAAGTGAGCAAAGGTGGTTGCAGGAGCAGGGTCAGTCAAGTCATCAGCAGGCACATAAATGGCCTATGAAAAAAAAAAAAAAAAAAAAAGTTTAGTTTTTATTTTTTCTAACGCAAACAAGCATGCTTCATGAATTGCCTTCTCAGAAACAATAAATGGCTTCAGCAGGTTCAGAAGAACGAAAGTCAAATTTACTCATCATGGTAGGCAAGAAAAAAAAAAAAAAACCACACACACAAGATATGTCCAGTAACACACCTGCACAGAAGTGATAGATCCTTTCTTTGTGGTAGTAATTCTCTCCTGCATGGTACCCATATCAGTAGCCAGGGTTGGTTGATAACCGACAGCTGAAGGGATACGACCAAGCAAGGCAGACACCTGTTAAAAAAGAGTGACAAGTTTTATGCAGGATAAATTGCAATATACATGATCATAAACAGTTTACATTTTATTAAAAAAAGGGCTGTTTAAGACATATGCCATTGGCATAGGAAGAACACAAACACATGCATATTTACGTGTTAAGTTGAACCATTCTTTCATAGGTGGCGGAAGAGTGGCAGAGGGACACTTTAGTGTTGGGCATAACATTAAAGTATTCCTTTAAGACAAGAGCTTTGTATGGTCAAGTTAGGCATTTGGTCTTACCTCTGAGCCAGCCTGGGTGAACCTGAAAATGTTGTCAATGAATAGCAGCACATCTTGTCCCTCTTGGTCTCTGAAGTATTCAGCAACAGTCAGTCCAGTCAAAGCTACACGAGCTCTGGCACCTGGTGGCTCATTCATCTGTCCATATACTAGTGCTACCTAAAGATGGATGCAAACCACCACTTTAGAACATATAGGAGTCCATGACATTTAAATAACTTACTAGCACATCCTGAGACACTGACTGGCCTTCAAAATTATAAACATTTAGGAGAATTGCACCTTTGAAGATGTGTCCTTCAGGTTGATGACACCTGACTCAATCATTTCATGATACAAGTCATTTCCTTCACGGGTTCGTTCTCCCACTCCAGCAAACACAGAATAACCACCATGGGCTTTGGCTACATTGTTGATCAGTTCCATGATGAGTACAGTTTTACCCACACCAGCACCACCAAACAGGCCTGAAAAAGAAAATTAGTGTTAGGTCAGCCCCAACAGACAACGTCATTTTCAAGTTACAAGCGGTTTCCTCAAGTTTTACAAGTCGCTTCAGATTGCTCAGAAGAACGAAAGTCAAGTGAAATCACTGAAAGAAACATTAAAATGTATATTTATCACTTCTGTTATACAGATTGATTATGCAGTAGCATAGGGTATATAAGTGTAAATGGTGTTCAGAAATAAGATTACATTTGACTGTTAAGAGAATAAATATAATTGCATACCAATTTTTCCTCCTTTAGCATATGGAGCCAACAGGTCTACCACTTTGATGCCAGTAACCAGAATTTCCTGCTCAACGCTCATTTCCACAAACTCTGGGGCCTCTGCATGGATTGCAGCAAATCTTTAAAAACAAGATTTATCTGGGTTAAAAGGAACACTATAGAAAAGAAACATGTATTTTTAATAGTGTTAAATTGTTTAGCTCCTCAGATCAAAGAGATTACAATTTTTTAAATAACAAATACGCAAACCGTTACCTGTTCTGCCATACCACCTTCATGGTGGAGACCAATGTTTCTAATCTCGGCCAATCCAATGCTTTTTCTATAGGAAAGCATTGGAAAACTATTGCACATTGTAGACAATAGGCTACACAGCGCCAATCAGCAACTCATCATAGAGATGCACTGAATCAATACATCTCTATGGGGAACGTTAAAGAGACACTCCAGGCACCCAGACCATTTCTGCCCATTGGACTGGTCTGGGTGCCAGCTCCCACTACTCTTAACCCTCCAAGTGTAATTATTGCAATTTTTATAAACCTGTGCTAGAGCATCGCTGGACGTCCTCACGCTATGTGAGGACCTCCAGCGTTGCTCATTTCCCCATAGGAAATGCCGCGCATGCGCATTAGGTCTCCCTGGCCGGTTGGCGGGATAAGTCTCGTCCACTGGCTGACGCAATGCAGAGGAGCGCCTCAGGTAAGTTACTGAAAGGGTTTTCACCCCTTCAGCAATCGGGGATTGGAGGGAGAGGGGACCTGCAGTGCCAGGAAAACTGATTGTTTTCCTGGCACTGGAATTTCCCTTTAAGCACCTCCATGTAGAGTGGAGCCGCTAAATGCTAGTGCAGCAGTGGACTAGGTAGCACCTCAAGTGGTCATGTGAGTGACTGCCACTAGAGGTGCTAGTAGGCAGCTACACACTGCCCTTTCATTGAAAAGACTGTACAAGCTATAGACATCAGAACATTTAAAAAAAAAAAAAAGTGTAGTTGTTCTGGTGGTTATAATGTCTAACATGTGAGTGTCACCGCGGGTTCTAAAGGGGCTGTGGTATAATTTCACAAGAATAAAAATGTATCCAAAACCCAATAGATCTCAGCAACTACCATATGACCATGTCACATGCAATGCTGCATGCAGTCTACATTCTTCAAATATAGAAGAATGACCAATTTGCATTTCTGGAATAATGTTTAATCACACTTGCTGACAAATACCAAGGTATTTTCAAAGACTGGTATACTTTAATGTGCATTAAAGCAGCACACAAGAAAATAAGATATTTGAGCAGGTTATACAAATAAAAATCTTTATGAAGTGCTCAGAGTTGGAATTTCATGGAAATTCCAATGTAGCCAAAAGATACAAGATAAATTATGGACTACTTTGTCTTAAGGTCCTCTGCTTGACAAAAGGCAGAGCTACCGCCATACATTGATCACTTTCCCCAGCCATCAATAACAGCAGCAGTGGTAAGAAGGCATTATCTCTCCCATGACAAGATAATATTGATTGAGGCTTGTGCACTGGGATGCTCTGTAGACAGTGTTGTACTCTAGCACGTGTGCTAGTATAGCACTGATGTGGGATTCGCTTTTGATGAAGCACCAGGAACTAAAGAAAGAGGTGTTACCCATGTAAGGCATTAGCTGTAACTCACCATAGTGCACTCCTGGGTCACTGGATCACAATCTGTGAAAAGGAGAGAACCAAACATTTTCCAGGACCCTGGAGTGTCACTTTAAGAACTAAATTTATCCCTTGCCAAGACAAAGGAACCACTGCAAAATCAAAAAGACATGCCTAATGACTCAAGCCTACCACACAGTTTTAGTGTTACAGCAAATACTCACTGTTTTGTTGTAATAGGGCCTCTTTCGTCAATTGGTTCACCAATGACATTCATGATTCTTCCCAACGTTTCAGGACCAACAGGAATTCTGATTGGTGTGCCAGCATCAAGGACCTTCTGCCCTCTCACCAAGCCTTCTGTACCATCCATAGCAATGGTACGTACAGTATTCTCACCTGAAATTAGTAAATGCTATGGTGAAGCTGGCAAATAACCATAAACTACTCTAGTTGATGCAGACAGATCCTTCTCAGACAAATATGTGGCTTCAGAATACTCAGAAGAACGAAAGTCAAGATTTAAATCATCATTGAAGGAAAAGAGTACAAGGACTATTCCACTCCATAGTCTCGGAACATACATTTTATTTTTTTAGAGACTGCAGCTTACCCAAATGTTGAGCAACTTCCAATACCAGCCTGGTGTCCCTTCCCTGAACCTCGAGAGCATTTAGGATGGGTGGTAGCCCTTCGTCAAACTGAACGTCCACAACAGCACCAATAACTGCCACAATGCGTCCTGTGGCTACGCCGGGTTTGGCTGCTGTGGCTGTCTGTGCTGCATAGTCTCTCCCTAAAAACAAAAACATGAAAAAGTGAATAGCCAATTCTGGTGTAGAAGCGCACAAAAAATTTAAAAAAAAATTAGCACTGTTAGAAGGGCAGTTACACTCAACTTTCTACATGCCAAAGTACTGGTAAAGTAACAATGCAACTGATAAGTGACCATTTATGCAATTCAGAAACCACCCATTTGTAGCTAGAGGGAACTAGAGGGCTTATTCTATTTGACAACTAAACATAAAGTCAAGCAGATATTAATGGTCAAGGTAAATTGAAAAAAATAACATGATATATATCATCGTAAATTTTTTGACACAGCGTTTACAGTAATCAAGCTGTTTTAGCAATACAAGAAAAACAAGGTCCAAAAAAATAAAATAAAAAATAAAGTAATCCTTGCTTACTACATAGCTTAAGGTTTACAAGTTTAAAGGGAAACTCCAGTGCCAGGAAAACAATCCATTTTCCTGGCACTGCACGTCCCCTCTTCCTCCCAATCCCCAGTAGCTGAAGGGGTGAAAACCCCTTCAGGTCACTTACATGAGACCCTGCCGAGAGGGGGTTTCTGCTCGCCGCTGCTCCTCCCTGTGATTATGACAGCCGGTGTACGAGACTTATCCCGCCAGCTGAGGAAAACGAAAGCGCATGCAGCAATGTCACGCATTAGAGCTCTCCATAGGAAAGCATTAAAAACGCTTTCCAATGGGGAATTGAGCAACGCTGGAGGGCCTCACAGACAGCCACTAGAGGTGGAGTTAACCCTGCAAGGCAATTATTGCAGTTTATAAAAAACTGCAATAATTACACTTGCAGGGTTAATAGTAGTGGGAGTTGGCACCCAGACCACTCCAATGAGCAGAATTGGTCTGGGTACCTGGAGTGTCCCTTTGAGGCTGAGCAGCAAGCATTAGATTCCCATTAAGGAGACAGCTCTCCTGACATGATAATAAAAGGCATACATGTCAGTATTGTGGTAATAAAGGCATACATGTCAGTATTGTGGAGGGGGTAGAATTAGAGCCTATATCCGATGTCAGAGTTGGCAGGGAGTTCGAGCAGTGAGACAGGCTGTCCATAGAATGGCCCTGGGGCAGCACAAGGTCGCAGACTCCGAGCTCGGCATGCTCGCAGGGCGGGTGTCCCGGCCGGCCTGGAACACACAGTGTATTACCCGGGGAGCGAGGCAGCGCGCGGTGTGTGGAAGGGAGGTATAGGGTATAGGAGGCAAGCTGGGGCCTGGCGGGCGCGTGCCGCGGCCTACCCGCCATTCAATGACATGGATAGGTCACGAGCTCTCCAGGCAACCCCGCGCGCCGTCCGCTCACTTACGGGAGTGCAGTGCCGCCGGGGAGCTCCTAAGCAGGTTCTGGCCGAGCTGGATCGGGCTGGAGGCCGGTTTCAGGGCCCTGATAGCCCCAGCGGAGCAGCGTCCTACAGCTCCTAACATGGCGCCGGTGAGCAGTAGACAGACAGCACAACGCGAGCTCTCAGAGGCTGCAGCTCTGGGGGGATGGGGCGGGTACAAAAAGGGTAGAAGGCTTCCCGCAGCGTGACGTCACGGGGACGGGGCCGAAGCGCGATTGGGTGAAGTTGACGCCGCTCCACGCTACGCCTTCATCTGATTCGACGAGAGTTAATGTCAACCGCGACGGGGGGGGGGGGCGGGACGTGCAGCCATGTCAGTCACATTAGGGGCGTGGCTTGGAAAGCTGTGTGACCTGTGCGGTCATGTCCTTCACTGTCTTCCAGGCAATGCCGGCAGCAGGAAGTGATAAGAGGCTCACCATGGGCCATCACTGACTGCTACAGGATTCACCATGGAGACTCACTGAACTCTACACTGTATAGATAGATAATACATTAAATATACCATACATCAAATACTGCATGCCATTCAGCTTTACAATAAATGGACTGGTGACCTGTGGGTTTAATTCACAAGGACATACATATTTTATAGACCAAATAAAGCCAGCTTGGGAAAACTACTGGTTTGGAAAATATTCCCAGAACTGCAGTTTAGCCTAAACTTTCCCGTTTCTTTGCCAGTTTACCAGTTAACTGTTTAGTGAATAATTCATAATAATAACAACTAAAAATGTGGATTATTGGGTATTTAAAAAATTTAGACCAAATCAGCTGAGGCAGAAGTTAAACTGAGCTGGATTTTTGATTTTTGTATTTATTTATTTATTTTTTTTGCAATTCAGCAGTTTGGGGCTAAAATATGAACTCCCCTGATTAATTCACCATGTTTATTTCACAAAGGTGGAATAGGTGTAGTGCAGTGCTTCACAATAGTTTTGATATATTTCCAGCAGTGTTCATTTATATATGACTGAAGTTTTACTCCTCTAACATCTTGCTTTGCAATTTCCTTTCCATTCTACAAGTGCACACTGACCCTTTGACTTTTTCAATGTCATAGGCAGTCCAGCAATGAGATTCACATATTTTTAATTCTTGTACTAATATCCATCTGTTTATGTAGAGAAATGTTGTTTAATATTTAGATATGGCAAGCTTAAAAAATGCTTTAAAAAGTTTTTTTTTGTTTTTTTACCATTTACATATACAGGGAGTGCAGAATTATTAGGCAAATGAGTATTTTGACCACATCATCCTCTTTATGCATGTTGTCTTACTCCAAGCTGTATAGGCTCGAAAGCCTACTACCAATTAAGCATATTAGGTGATGTGCATCTCTGTAATGAGAAGGGGTGTGGTCTAATGACATCAACACCCTATATCAGGTGTGCATAATTATTAGGCAACTTCCTTTCCTTTGGCAAAATGGGTCAAAAGAAGGACTTGACAGGCTCAGAAAAGTCAAAAATAGTGAGATATCTTGCAGAGGGATGCAGCACTCTTAAAATTGCAAAGCTTCTGAAGCGTGATCATCGAACAATCAAGCGTTTCATTCAAAATAGTCAACAGGGTCGCAAGAAGCGTGTGGAAAAACCAAGGCGCAAAATAACTGCCCATGAACTGAGAAAAGTCAAGCGTGCAGCTGCCACGATGCCACTTGCCACCAGTTTGGCCATATTTCAGAGCTGCAACATCACTGGAGTGCCCAAAAGCACAAGGTGTGCAATACTCAGAGACATGGCCAAGGTAAGAAAGGCTGAAAGACGACCACCACTGAACAAGACACACAAGCTGAAACGTCAAGACTGGGCCAAGAAATATCTCAAGACTGATTTTTCTAAGGTTTTATGGACTGATGAAATGAGAGTGAGTCTTGATGGGCCAGATGGATGGGCCCGTGGCTGGATTGGTAAAGGGCAGAGAGCTCCAGTCCGACTCAGACGCCAGCAAGGTGGAGGTGGAGTACTGGTTTGGGCTGGTATCATCAAAGATGAGCTTGTGGGGCCTTTTCGGGTTGAGGATGGAGTCAAGCTCAACTCCCAGTCCTACTGCCAGTTCCTGGAAGACACCTTCTTCAAGCAGTGGTACAGGAAGAAGTCTGCATCCTTCAAGAAAAACATGATTTTCATGCAGGACAATGCTCCATCACACGCGTCCAAGTACTCCACAGCGTGGCTGGCAAGAAAGGGTATAAAAGAAGAAAATCTAATGACATGGCCTCCTTGTTCACCTGATCTGAACCCCATTGAGAACCTGTGGTCCATCATCAAATGTGAGATTTACAAGGAGGGAAAACAGTACACCTCTCTGAACAGTGTCTGGGAGGCTGTGGTTGCTGCTGCACGCAATGTTGATGGTGAACAGATCAAAACACTGACAGAATCCATGGATGGCAGGCTTTTGAGTGTCCTTGCAAAGAAAGGTGGCTATATTGGTCACTGATTTGTTTTTGTTTTGTTTTTGAATGTCAGAAATGTATATTTGTGAATGTTGAGATGTTATATTGGTTTCACTGGTAATAATAAATAATTGAAATGGGTATATATTTGTTTTTTGTTAAGTTGCCTAATAATTATGCACAGTAATAGTCACCTGCACACACAGATATCCCCCTAACATAGCTATAACTAAAAACAAACTAAAAACTACTTCCAAAAATATTCAGCTTTGATATTAATGAGTTTTTTGGGTTCATTGAGAACATGGTTGTTGTTCAATAATAAAATTAATCCTCAAAAATACAACTTGCCTAATAATTCTGCACTCCCTGTATAGAGAGCTGTGACTATAGATTTACTTGCCACTGTAGAAATCAATGTAACTCACTGAGTTGTTATCACAAGTAATGAATTATTATGTGCTTTGAGTTTAACCCTAAAAAACTGAGGAGAGGGTAAATAAAGTAGCAATTCGTTGAGCCACTACTCATGATTTTCTTCCCTCCAACCCCACAAATACAGGATGGAGGGAGAAGGATACCATGGCAGAGCCCCCTGATTAATTTCAAAGGGAAGTGCACCTTTCTTATTTGGTGAATTTGCTGAGGAAGATATACCGTAGTTGCTTGTCTGTGTGAGCGTTAAAGGAACATTATAGTCACCAAAACAACTTTAGCTTAATGAAGTAGTTTTGTGTATAGATTATGCATCTGAAGTTATACTGCTCAATTCACTGCCATTTAGGAGTTATATTATTTTTGTTTATGTCTATGCAGCACTAGCCACACCTCACCTGGCTGTGATTCACACAGCCTGCATTGAAGCAAACTGGTTTCATTTTCAATCAGATGTAACTTACTTTTAAAGTTTTTGTCTCATGCTCTGTATGTTATACTTTAATTGCATACAGAGGGGGCTCCTGCAAAGTCTAGCTATTAACTGTGCAGGAGATAAGAAATGCTAAATTAAACAAAATTTGCAATAAACATTAGTTTACTCTTTCCAGGAAGTGTTTAGGAAGACTGTGTAAGTCACATCCAGGGAGGTGTGGCTAGGGCTGCATAAACAATGTGATTTAACTCCTAAATAGCACAGAATTAAGCAGTGAGACTGCAGGGGCACCAATATAGATTAATTAAGCTAGAATTGTTTTGGTGACTATAGTGTCCCTTTAATTCTAGGGTCTCACAGATCTCATTCTTTTGGTGTGTTATAATTGCATTACAAATTTGCCTTTTCAGCACCACAGAGAAGATTAGGGAATTGTGCAGATAGGCTGACTAGGCCCACTTAGTTAGTGGGATCTTACATGGTACATTTTACCCCCCGAGAAAGGACCACACCATCTATTGAATGTGTTATGGTGTAACTCTCCATTTTTTCATATGGGGCTATTTTGTACTTGAACACTCAAGCATGTATTTCTCTACTTCAAGTGTTACTTAGATTATTGCGTCCACTCAAATACTAAAATAAAGAAAATTTACTTAAATTTTATCTCCCAGGATCATTGGTTTCCCCGCAGTTGCCACTACTCCCCAGGCCAAGATCATCATTACAGGTGATCTCAGCCAAACCTATGCTTCTACATAGGGAAGCATTGCGGGGGCTATCACACATACGCAGCAATTGCCACACTCCATCAATTAGCATCTCTTTATAGAAATGAATAGACTCTATGCATCTCTGTGGGGAGTGTTTGCTGTCTTCATGTAAGTAATGACTACACTAAGAAGGGTCTCTACAAGCTGTCTGGGTGAGAGCCAGTAAAGGTGGCCTTATGAAATGCTAAGTTTTCTGGGAAAAGGCAATGTTTACATTGGTATGTATATAGTACAAAATAACAATCACTCTTTGCCCATAAAACAAAAGGTGAACATATAACACTTATCTTAATAGACAGTGGTCCCTGAGGTAGTCCTTTTGGACAGAGGTCCCTGAGGAAGTCCTTTTGGACGAAACGCGTAGGACCTGGTACCATAACAGCTTATTTGTATACTTTTACTTTTAAATTCTTTTAAATAAAGAAGAAATCTTTTTTACTCTTCATCCTAAGTCGTATTTCGCCTTCCTTGGAACAGAAATTGGTTTCACACCCCCCATCTTCATCAGGGGAGGCACCCTTGGGCGCAAATTATTCATCAATCTTGTGCGTTATATTCTACACAGCGCACTTATACCTTACCATACTGTGTTGCACTATTGTTTCATTTTATTTTTTGTAGATCTACAGCTGTATCCTCATTTTGTATATATCTATAATGTTTACATTACTGTGGATACCAGGACAGCCTCTTTGCGCCAGAACCACTCTACCTCTTACACTTCAAGTCAGGGCCAGGATTAAGAAAATTCAAACAAAGTAATTAAATAACCATGAATGTTGCGGGCGTTAACCATATTGAGGCTGGCCTGCACTTGCTAGCCAGGGTCCATATTTAAAAAGGTGAAAAAAAAATATATAGTTTGTTAAATCCCATGGGGATACTTCCAAGCAACTCTCAAGACAAGTGAGACTTTCACGCTAACCAATCAAAGCAATTTAATGATCTTTGATCCTGGCCTCACCTTTGCGCCTCATATCCATAATGTTGCTAAAACTTGCTGATTCTACCTTAAAAACATCGCCAGCATTCGCCACTTTCTCACGCAAGATGCTGCCCAGGAGCTTGTTCATGCTCTGGTAATCTCTAGCATTAATTACTGTAATTATCCCCAGAAGCCGAATTGCCCCGTTACAATCTGTAATAAACGCTGCCACCAGGGTGATCTTTCTCACCCGTAGCTCCTCCCATAC